GCCAAATATGTCCGCTGCACGTTTCTTGACTTTACTTCTGCTTTCGACTCTGTACCTAGAAGTCTCTTGCTAAATAAGCTCTCCATGACACAAACCGAGTCCTGGGTCACTAACTGGTTGCATTCCTACTTTTCAAACAGAATGCAGTACACCGTATACAAAGGCCAATCCTCCTCTGCTGTGCTCACAGAAGCTGGTGTCCCCCAAGGTGCTGTACTCTCCCCACTTCTCTTTTCTTTCTTTCTACATGACCTACCGTCTTCAAATGACATTAACTTTGTCAAATATGCTGATGACCTAACTGTATCTTTACCTGTCAAATGTCAAAGTGACTGCTCTAAACTAAATGGCTTCTTATCGGAAATTAGCCAATGGTCCAAGGAAAACGGTCTAACCTTAAACCCCTCCAAATGCCAAACAGTTAATTTCACCCTTAGGCATAAATCTGACCTAAACAAACTGGTTAGCACTCACGAGGTGTGCAACATAGATGGCAGTGAAATAGAAACCAAGTCGGAAATTAAATACCTAGGCGTCACTCTATCTTCTGATCTTTCCTGGTCGTCTCATATCTTGACGATTTCCAAGAAAATATACCGTCTTACCTTCTACATCAAGAAGTTAAGACATTCTGGTGTAACCCAACCCTTACTCCTACAATTTGTTAACTCCCGTATTCTGCCTATTATTCTCTATTGCTCCCCCTTAGTCTTTCCTGGGCTATTGAAGAAAGACTATACCTTATTACGTAGGATGTTAAAGGTTGTCAGCAGGGTAAGCAGTTTGCCACTTAGCCAGCTTGTTAATATTCTGGTGGACAGGCATATGGACTCATGTGAAAAATGGGCGAAATCCATTTTATCTGACTCACAACACCCTCTACATTCACAACTCTCCCCATGTATCTCTTCAGGGAAAACAAGAAGCCTATATAGGAAACTATATGCCCGCACTAGTAAGTACAAAAACTCATCCATACCCTACCTAGCTCGTGTTCTGTGCGATAAAGAATGCATCAGGCATGAAACCTTTAACTTATTAAATAGTCAGTAGAACCAATGGATCTCGTCTTTCCAACTCACATCATTTATAGGTACAACGTTTTCTCCCTATTTTTTTCCATTCTGTATTTATTTTTGTTATGTGCTGTTTTGTTTCTCTCTTCCTTGCAAACTCTACTTAAAACATTCTTGTTCGTTCTTTCACACTCTGTACATCTCGACCATTTTGCTATCGCTTACGCCAGTAAATATGCTAGTAGTATCTACTTTTCTAACACCTTCAAACACTTTAATTTTGGCTTTGCTACCGACATACTAATATGTTGTTGAGATAACTTTAATCTATGTAGAACTTTATTTATTGTTAATGTAAAAAACTGGATGCAATATTGTAGTAAAATGCTGAGAATTCCATTCTGTATCACAAGTACTGATTTGGAATAAAGCTTATGTTATGTTAATATGTTATGTTAATGCGTGAGAATATAAGTGGACCTAGGCAAAATTCCGATGGGAGAAAAACATTTTATTCTCAAATATACAATTTACCTAAAAAAATAAACTAGGTTGAGAAGTACCTAATTCGATTATTCCGAAAAAGGGACTGTCTAAATAATAAATCAACTAAAAATTTGTACTAAAAACTGATGAACTAAATAATACTGATCACTGCTTTAACTCATTCCTACCAATATACCTTGTCTTTTCATAGTGTTTAGATAGGCAGATTAACTGTCTATAGAAAGAATAAAAAGGGATCGTGATAAGTTATGAATGACATTAAATGTTGAGAGATGACGTTAACGGCAAAATAAATCTCCGTTCGAAGTCATACCGAAAGGAAATTTTGCTTTGAGCTGTCAATTACTTTGAATTACTGAGATAATGAATGTCATCAAAGAAGTTTATCGGCGGAATTAATTGAATAAAGCATTCATTCCTCGCATTCCAAGTGGAGCGTAATGTTTGAGCAGCTCATCTCCATCGTGCTGTGTTCTCTGGTGTCATTTTCAACTGGCTTCACAACTACCTAAAAGCTTTTATTTCCTCTTCACATCATCCTCTTCATTCCACTGTCCAGCCTATGCCTTATTCATCATTTCCTATTCAGGTTACACGGGAGAGGATACGTGGCAGGTGATGCTGCATGAATATCTTCTCAGTGTGTTTTCACTCCATCTCTATTTACTTTGACATACCTGTCAGGCAATAGGTTCTTGGCTGGCTCCTTGCTGATAATCCCTTCTCGTCATCTCATCTTTAGTATTCAGAGAGGTAGCATCTGTTAATGAAAACCTGCAGACTGTTCGAAACACATTTGGTGATTCACGGATACAGTCTTTGAAAAACAAGGAACAACTGACTTGACACGAGCGTTAAAAACTCGAATCCTGTTCCTGCTGGTCGGCGGGGCAGATTTCCGCACTGATTTCGGATTCACTGGGATCTGTTTCACTTTACCGATTACTCTTGGCTTTGAAATCCTGATTAGTACTCCTCTATATATTGAATGGGATTTTTGAACGCCTTCAAATTTCTTCCATAAGTAGTGATTGGTGTTTGTTGTTGTTAGTGGGGAAACTTAATCACGTATGTTTTCTTTGTGTCCACCTGAAATCCTGTCTTCATTGTCTCTGGTGTTAACTTGTCGGTTTTTGCCTGTAGATCTTCGAATTTGTGCGATTGGAGACAACAAGCATCTAAGAAATCCTGACATTTCCAATGAATCGGTCTTTTAAGGCATTTTGAGGTGATGCCTACTTTGGGATGGAATTCGAAAGAAGAATGAATTAAGTGATACTCTCATGAATCACACTCATAAATAGGACATAAGCAATATACCAAGTGATGTCTTTACAGAAGCATCGGTAATTTGTGTGTCGATAGAGAAGCTTGTCAAACAGGAAAGGTGGGAAGTAGGTGACATTTCTGAAACAGACAACTACAAACAAAAGATAATCCAAAACAGAATGCGTGATACTATTTGCCAAGTGTGGAATTAATATAAGGCTTACGATTTTTTTAACGTTTATTGCATTTTACTGCAGTAAACATTGGTTTTGCTGTCACACAGTGTTATACAGTAATATTAACTAAAGACGTTAATAGTACTGTGTGATTTATCAAAATAAAATCTTATCTATAATGGAGTTATACTCTACCACACTGCCCAAGTTTTATACTTATATCACTAATTTTGTCTCCTTAAATACTGGATTCTGTAGACAATGCTGGTTTTCACGGCATATATAGCTAATTGTCAGAAGTTAAAGTGCACGTAACCGTCATTGGATTCTGTTCCAGTGGCTAAATGGTTAACGAGCCAGCTTCGTAGTGTGAAGGTCCTGGTTTCGAACCCTGGCAACAGAGCCATCTGCGAGTACTAATGAAAATTCCCAAACTAGCATGAAACACCTATCCCGTACTGCATAGTTTTCAGTGATTCTCCAGCTGACTTCAGTTGGTGTTCAAACTTAAGCTATTATTATTTCCTTTGTTTCCTAGTGGAACATAGGGCTTTAATAACACATCTCCACTACCTTCTATTTTCTGTTGTCGTCTCCAGCTAGGGCCACTATTGCCCATAATCTCTCATCTCCTCCAACTCGCACGATATCCTCTATGTCACCCTCACACCGATGACCCACTCGTCGTTCTCCTTTGGATTCTACTTAAGCGATGGCCTGCACTGAGCGTAATGTTATTCGACAGTTTCCTCAGTGTATGCCCTATCCATCTTCATTTTCTCCTACATATTTGTTGAGCAATCGGTTCTTGGTTGGTTGGTTGGTTCCCAGCCAGAGTTTCTTGTTGCTAATTCTTTCTGGTCAGCCATCTGATGCAGAGAAGGCGGCCTAGTTCACTAGTTAGCTAGTTTTCTAGCCGGTCCCAAGACCGGATAAAAAAGCAGGGTTGGGTGTGAGGTTAGCGACCCTACCCCACAAAACCAATCAAACTGCTACAGAAACTTCAACGCAAAAGAAAAATTATAAAAATGTAAGGTAAAGATGGCACATTCTTTTTGGAGTTATCGTGTTCTCTCATCTGTATAATTTAACTGCAAAGCTAACATTTTCAATGTAGAAAACTGAAGTAAGCATCAGAAATACCTTATTGATAAAATGTTTGTCTGCTTGTTCGTCCTAATGACTTTAATTGTGATTGGTTATTTCTGTAGGTTTCCTTGTATCCATTCGTGGATGTTATTGTTTCTCTGATTGGCCTGATATCTGACTTCTTAGTCGTGTGACCTGTTTCTTATTAGACTGACAATTTGATTTATAACCACATTTTTATTAGTTGAAAATTCATCTGTGTTTCGGACTTCAAAGAATTCCTTGATATTATTCCTGTTTCATCTGTCTAAGATTGTAACATTATTCGAGTTGAACTGTTATCCATTGTTGTCGATTTCAATAAACTAATACTCACATTTAAGACTTCTTTTTGTGAGAATAACGAATAACTTTTTTAACTAGTCTGCAAGCTGTTTTATCTGAATAGGTGGATGAAACCATAATGAGAACGATGCTTAAAGTATTACACTTGACCATAGGTATTTTCAGTTAATTTAAAAATTGAACAGTTTTCAAATCAGATAAACCAAATATTTTTGTTGATTTATTCAAAACTTAGTAATCTTATTTTTAACATTCCCATTTCGTGTAATTTAATTACCGTTCTATCAGTGCGTTTCTGCCGAATTAGATGACATGTTTTGAATGAGAATATAGCTTTATTCGATTACTTTGAGGCCAAATAAATAACACTGAACACTACTGTTAGTCAAGAGCTAATTTCCTTAGTTACGTAGACAACACACTTTGAAAATATAATCTGAAAGAATAAAGTTGAAGAATTTGATTTTGTTTACATCCAGTGGATTCACATTCAAACTTGGGTGCCCACTTTGACCACTGAGTCAGGGATTCAACGATAAAATGCTAGCCAATCGCACTCGTGATTTGTGATTGACTTTCGGCTGAATTCTTCCAAAACCTCACCTAGTTTACAAGTCTACAAGGAAATTTGGATGTGAGGCTAACTGCTGAAACTTCAAAGTATTGAATCAGAAGTTCTGCTAAGAAGAATCCTCGGGAGAGAAAAATATTATGCCAAATAATGTATTATCCATTATTATTTTGCTACAAGAAGTAAATGTTTTTGCAATAAAGCACACTGAAAATTATGTACTAAGCATAAGCGCATTATTCAGGACGAGGCTATTATTAATGTTGCTGTTGTTTAAAACATCAACACTATTATAGAAACTTTAGAAGGACAGAAAAGTAGCTACGAGATTTAGGAAGGTTATCTCGTCAACCTACTAAAGAAGAGCGAATTAAGGCTTTAGTAGACAGAAGACAAGTAGTTCAGCGAAGAGTCTCTTTTCGGCGAATTCATTTTCATAGCTGTACAATCGCAAATATATATGGTTATTTTGTGTGTGTGTGTATACATTAAATTTGTCAAACGAAAATACAATTAGTAGGTTCAGATGAATTGGATGTTGATAAGAGGATAGCAACAAAAGTGATGAGTTGTCATAAATGATTGTTAAATAAGAGTTACGTAATGGCATGAATAGTTTGATGAATGAGTTGTGCTCAAAGGGTGTACATGGAAACAAAATAATATACAGAATTATACAAGGGTTTTAAGTTAGAAAAATAAGCATACAAACAGAAGTAAGGTCAAATCAAACAAACAAAGAAAAGTTAGGTCAAATCAAAGGAGTAGTTACCATGCGAGTAGAAGTGGTTGGATAATTTTCTTTTGTATGCATAGTTCTGGTTCCTCCAACTGGATGGCCAGGGCTTCTGCGATGCAAAGAAGACGGAATCGTACTGTCTTTGGAAGGTTGTTCTTCACTTTGTAGATTACTTTGAAGGATGCGTTCGTTGAGATGGAATGACCAGTATTGACGAGATGTTCGATTATTGCACTCCTTATATGGCCATTATTTCCTTTCTGTAGCCACGCTGGATAGTGTTCTTTTACCCTTTTAGACAGGATGCGCGTTGAACGACCGATGTACCTGGCTCCACAGCAACAGGTGAACTGATATATACACATAGAAGTGGTCATGTGCGGAATCTTGTCCTTTGGGTTTCTGCAGATCAGCGGGCGACTGGAGAACACTATTCTTAGTGTTGCCGCAGGGAAAGTTCTTCCTAAAGAGGTGGAAATTCTCCTTCTGAGGACGTCACTAAATAGGTCTCCTTTGAAGTCTAGGTTCATATAAAGTATCTTTTTCGGCACGGATAGTGTCTCTTGCTTTTGGTTTTTCTGTTTGATGTTTTTCTCTACAAATCTTGGTGGGTAGCCATTTTGTATGAAGATTTCTTTCAGGAAGTTTAGTTCTTCTTCCATGGTGTCGGAGCTGCAGATGCGTCTGACGCGAGTGGCAAGGGATTTAATTAGGTTTCTTTTCCGACTGATTGGTACCCAGCTGTAGAAACTTGTTAATTGTCCGTTCCAAGTCGGTTTCCTATGGATTGACCTTCTTAAAGTTCCGTCATCTCTCCTTGTAAGCTGAACATCAAGAAAAGGGATTTTAGATTCATTTTCAGTTTCCAAAGTGAACTTTGTGGCTGGATGGCATTTGTTGAATATTTGCAGTAGTTGATTGAGATCGTGACCGTCATCACAGATGATAAAGATGTCGTCAACATATCTAACGTACAACTGGAAATTGTCGATGGTTGATTTGAGGCAGAAAGTGGCCCTGAAACATGCACCAGTCAACTCCAAGCAAAATATTAAGTCAGAATATTCTGGAGAAAATAAAAAATGTTCTGAATGCAAAACTCATCCTGGAACAAGCTGGTTGCAGGAAAAGCAAATCATGTGCTGATCATATTGCAAATGTACGCATCATCACCTAATTAAGCGAAGAACTATAGTCAAATGTGTACTTAAGTTCATCAGTTCTGAAAAGGCCTTAGGCGTCGTTGACTTCTAAGTAATTTGGAAGCTGCCTTAACACAGAGAGTGCTCCAAAGCTTTATTAGTATCATTCAACATCTGTATGATGATGCCATATGCCAGATTATTCATAATGGGAGACTCTGAAAAGACAAGGCTGCCCACTACCACAGATAATGTTCCTGATTGAGGTTAAGTGAATCATGAAGCAGACTTTGGAGAGTGAGAAGACGAGGATACGTTGGGCTGATAAAAAGAATTTAGAAGATCTGGAAACCGGATGGGAAGGCGTCATATAAGGAAGAGATCAAAGCTTGTGGAGCCAGGTAAAGAGGACTGCAGAACACAGAATAAAATCGAAATGTACAGCTGAAACCCTTTGATCCACTCAGACTCTAAGGGGATAATAATTAAAGCATTGAAATATTGAATCTTAAGAAAATTATGTCAAAGAAAATACTACAAACCAAGTGGGCCACCGGCCTACTTAGTAAAATGAATAACGTTGGGCTGATCTAGTACTTAAGTCCCCCGATTATGTGATACAGCCATAAAGAATGAATTCTCGTGAAGGTTGGAGAACAAAAGCGTAGCTACAGTTTTTACCCTTTTGCAGGACCAAGTAAAAATCTTCTTATGCAACGATTACGACCGGTTGTAGAAAGTTATTTGGCAGGTCATTTGCTCGGATTGCGACACATTATGCTTTCACCGAGTTTTTGACGATGATTATTTCAAGGATTACCAAAGTGACGCAGTCGATTTTTGCAGAATTCACTTTTGGTTATCCTTTCAATTTGTTTTGACTTATCGTTTCACTTTCACCTATGCACAAAGAATCAGTCATCTTTCGGTTTATAACCCACTCATTGTGTCATTGCTTCTTTCTAGTAAAAACATTTCTAAATAGGACATCAAATTTGTCCATTTCTCATCAGTTTTCGTTCAGTGTGTACACTAACTTTGCTTTATGATGATGAATCTACTTCAAGTGAATCGAATTCCCATAAAACTCACTAAGTAATTTAATGCAGTTTAATGCTTTGTCGACTGGAATCTTACAGAACTCTAACGATGGTTTTAGTTTTTTTTATCTTAAATTCTACCCCTGCAGATCGTCAGTGGTTTAACGGTAGTATGCTTGCTGACCACACACATGGTCCATTTTCGATTCTCAACCTATGCCTAACCGTTAGTAAGCCTAGAAAAAAAGGGAAGGTTGATTATGAGACTAGCAACTCTACACTATGGAAAAAAAGCCAATAACAGAGCAACACTAAACTTCTCAAATCTCAAAGACTGAAAAGCTTTGTTCAACTAGAATACAAAAGGAAAAGAAAAAAAGACAACCTTATTATCTAGTAATGAATGTTTCGACTGTTCATTCTTCACTGGCATGTTATACTACTGACTTCTCAAAATTTATTAACTTCTTGTTGTATTTCATTTTATGAATGAACTTTTTTTCATAACTTCCCGTATGTGTACCTTGACCAATCCAACCAATCACCCATCTAGCTACCTAACCATTCACTCACTCACCGAACATCTAATCTGTTTGTGAGTGAATGATTTTTTTTGTGTATGAGGCTAGTAAAGTGTCGACGGAAATCGAGTTTAAATTCAATTTATTTTATTGCATTTAACATCCTGCGAAATAGTCTTTTTATTTTTGTTTGAATGTTAATTTTTTATATCAGGAACCGAAATCAAATAGAGATTTATTATTATTATTAGTTGTATTAATACAAGTTATGGAGCTATCTCACTGATCTTCTTGTTCGTTTTCATTTTTCGGACTATAAATGTAACTATTGCTTGTAGAGGGTAATGAATTCATCAGAAAATATATCTTCAGAAGAAGAAATGTTTTACACTGGAAAATAATTTCACATAAATTTTTGCTAAAAACGATCTCGTTTTATTTTCAAAAGAACCTTTTCTACAATGTTTTGAGAATTCCAGAAACCCTATATATTTAAATAAGAATAAGATTTCGTATAAGAAGAACTATCAATCTGTGATTAGATTTCATACAAGTCAAATCCCTCCTAATTAATTCTTGGAAACTAAAGAATGTTAGGAATCCATAGATGCCCTTTGACACAGCAACATTGTAGTAGTTGTCTTGATTAAATGTTAAAGTACTTAGATAAACATCGTTCAAATGAAAACATTTATTTGAAATTCTTGTGTATGATAACATAACTTTCAATGAAGCCTTAGCAAAAATGTTATGACTCATAAGTATAGCAGGTGAAACTGTCCAGTGGGTTTTTAAACTCACTCAGAAAGGGTTTGCACTTTGAGAAGTGATCACTTCTATCTAATTGGTAAGAGTGAGTGTTTGATCTGAAAAGTTGGAAACTACTCAGATCAGTCAACCAGGCATTTGGTCATTAGCATATTCTATCTCGATGTTTCGCTTGCATTCTTCATTGCATTTATGATGTGGTTACCAAAAAAAGCTGCGGTGATTTCTTATATAAAGCTGGGTAATCTGCAAATAATAAATTTAATTCCTTTGGCTTTTGTTGTTAAAGCTTTTTATCAAGTGATATAGGGATTTTACCGTCATTCTGACTATTGCCTTCAGTATCCTTCGGCGGGGATTATTATTATTATTCTAATTTCCAGCTCACAGAATAGTAGTTCAGAGAACAAGACCATTATACTAGGGGGAGTACTTTGATGTCTATCCTTTTTAGTGATTGAAAACGCCACGTGATTTCCTGATTTATACGATCATTAATGCGCTTGATAGTTTGTGTTAATGAACTTCCTACCTAATCGATTTGTGAATCTACTGTTCTAATCATTATTAACAACAACAACGACACAATACGATATCACCGAACTCATGAAGCAAGAAAACAAGAATGCAGATAGTCGACGCAGAGCGAATTTTCTGTCTCGAATCAACAGCGAATAGGGTTGACACCAGTTGCGTGCATATGCTTTAAATGACCCTAAGAGATACTAATCACATTGATAAGTTAAAATAGTCAACGACCAATAGGGGAGATGGGGTGGGGAGAGATGTAAAAGCACTGTGCTGTGAAGACAAACGTAGTATTTTATGAAAGTTAGGTCTATATAACACTAATTGTAGCTGAACAGTTGTAGTTTTATTTAGAAGCTTATTTCCTCACAGAAAAGGAATTCCTGAACTAGATTTTGTTTTTGATACTTCTGTGGTTCCAACCTAAGTAAGTAAGGTGTTATGTCCCTTTGCCCATGGAATATTTACAGTTGTATCCCACGGAAATGGCACCTGTGTAGAAAATCCCGATTTCGTGTTTCACTTTCAAGAAAAATGTGCCTTATACAATTTTATGATATTTTTCTAAATATGTTTACTGAGAATGGTCATAATGGTGAAATTGCACCCAAAGATTAAAGAAACAACCGTGCTATTATACTCATGACAAGATAGTTGTCAAGTTAGGAGTAGAGTACTCAATAAAAATCCAATTAACCTAGGATCAACATTTGAAGCACAGATGAAAAAATGCCAGTTTTTACATTTCGTTTTATGAAAACTTCAGTTCAGCGAACATGAAGCTTTTTATTTCCTCATATTATCTCACTATATCAGCCTCAAAGACAGTTCTAAAACGGCACATTATTATTTTGAAGTCTGAAAATTTAATCTACTTTGGTACCCTAGGAAGTATCACAATGCCTGCCTTCGCTGTATATGTGATATCAGATGGGCGGCTAACCAGAATGGATAAATAACAAAGAACTCTTGAGAACCAACTAAGAACCTATTGCCACGCAAATATGTAGAAGGTAATATAAATGGATTGGATTGCATACATTGTGGAGACCTTTAAGTGTTGATGTAACAACAGAAGACAAGGGCCAGGCAACAGATCGTTTTATTATGAAAATCAACACGTATTTATACATCTTTCAACTACATTATTATAGACAAGCGCAGTCATCTGATTGGTTGTTTAGGTAGACAAACGCAGGCTTCTGACTGGTTGTTTAGAAATTCCTTGACAAATAGAGTTCTCTCTGCGAATCATATTCTGCCACGTTAACTTTGCTGTGATTGGTTGTTGACTCAGGCTTGTTCATATTTTCTCACGGCCCATATTAGTGACCTAGACCTTAACGTAGATTAGTGCCAACCAATCGGCTAGCAGCCTGCTCTCACCACACTCGTCCCCCCGTCAAATACGTGCGACTGAAGTCGGCTTGATCTACTTGGTGCAGGCGTCATCGTTGGCTTGTCTCGCTGTATCCGTTTCTGGAGCTCGCTGACGTTCACGCGCCTCTTATTGTTCGCCATTGCGACTGTGTCTGCGTAACCCCATCTCGAAGTGACCATATATGGTCCTTCCCACTTTGGAAACTGTTTGCCTGACCCTGTCGAACATTCGTCCATACTTCGGCTCACACTTTCATATGCTGCTTTCACCCGACCTCCCAGCAGCGTCCCAAGTAGCAGCTCCATCGCTGACAGATCTTGAACGCCACTCAACTGCGCAGAAGCCTTGAAGTCCTGCCCGAAGATCCATATATCTCCATCGAAAACAGCAGGGCATAGGCTTTCCATTTGTCGGTAGGCAGCGACACCAAATGTAACAACAGAAGACAAGGGCCAGGCAACAGATCGTTTTATTATGAAAATCAACACGTATTTATACATCTTTCAACTACATTATTATAGACAAGCGCAGTCATCTGATTGGTTGTTTAGGTAGACAAACGCAGGCTTCTGACTGGTTGTTTCGAGATTCCTTGACAAATAGAGTTCTCTCTGCGAATCATATTCTGCCACGTTAACTTTGCTGTGATTGGTTGTTGACTCAGGCTTGTTCACGGCCCATATTAGTGACCTAGACCTTAACGTAGATTAGTGCCAACCAATCGGCTAGCAGCCTGCTCTCACCACAACATGCCAGGTAAGCACTCAGGTGGAACCTTAATAGGAAGCGGCGAGTTGGGTGTGGGTTCGAAGATAGTACTGAGGAAATAGTGTGAAGAGGATATGAATACTCGTGGGCATTTTTGAAGCTAGGTGGAAACGACGACAGAGAATGCAGCACAACGATGTGTCACTGGGGCCTTATATTCTGATAAGAACTCATGGAACAAATAATAAAAACAGTAATGATTGAGTATCATTAAAAAAATTTTGCAGCAACTTCATCACTTTTATACCTGATGATATCATCACTGATTTACTGAACGCCGTTTCATATTCGTTTATATTTTATGCATTTTCAGCAGGGAAAGATGACTGTTCTCGATTTCACGTATAATGACTTCTTTTAACTTAATATAAGGGGGACAGATAGTTAAGTTCTTATACGTACACTTTGAGAACAGTTAGACTTTCTAACGGGTTAATTGTTTTTCATCTGATTGTCATAGTTTTTATAACAGTTTACATGTAAGCATTATTTATGAAAGATACTTGTCTCTAACTACGTTATTTGCTCATCGGCGTGCATGAGAGATACATAGTGAATGGTACCATCTAGCTGTTGAATTTTCACGACTGAAGTCCATGGTGTATAACCTGGGAGTAAAATACTCAGATTTGTGAGGTATGGCTTTATAAACAGAGTTGTGGTAATAACTGTCACCCAGGTATTTCATTCTGAACGCAAAAAACCAATCTATGCGTTCATCTGAGTAAGTCGACTAACTTTTATGATTAAGGCACAGTACAAAATTGGATTTCCAACAGTATCGAAACGCGTTCAGTCTTGATTGAATCTCTTGTTCTGTTATATGACATAAAAAATACAGAAGTATCTTAGTAATGTCATCTGGAAAATGTACAGTCCATGAGTACGTTAGGAATAAAATACGTACTGTGCTACAAAGTTAGTTAGCCGAACAATCTTAAGATACGTGAGGATCAAAAGAATATTCTCAATATTGTGCGATCAAAACTCTGTCTACTAGAAGTCAACAGAATAAAAACACGAGCCCATAGACATTCGAAGGTCAAGCAGTAACAAATTCTCACCACTACCATTACAAAAGTGGAAAAGAGAAGCAGAAAAAATAAGGATCAACCAAAGACAGAAATAAATAAACAGAAATAAGAACGTTGACATGCAAGTCAAGAGAAAAGGCTAATAATTAAAAAAGTAGTTGAAACATTCAAGTAAGTATCCCTGTTATGAACATATTGCTCATGAAGGGATTTTCGGATAAGTTACGGGTATCTGTTACAGGTATTCCAATAATCGAATCGTCTAGTTGGATAGTTTCACTTGAATTCGACATATTTTAATTAACACCACTAATAAACTTATTAAACTTGCTTTTCAGTGATGTATACACTGGTTCTAATTCCACATGCTACTTAGAACGCTTTACATGATCAGTTAGATTTCTGAAAGAGGTGGTGTTTACTTTGAATTTTGAAAAAATAAAGAAACACACACATGTTGTGGCATGTGCTACTGATAATACTCATCAGTAGTATACAAAGAGATGTTCATCTGCGTAAAAACACCAAGTAGCAGGGAGATAGATTTGATGTCAGAAAAGACAAATGAAACAACGTTGAGGAGATACATGGCAGAGTTGAAAGGAACACAAAGAAACACAAAATGAAGGGCAGAAGTAGCACAAAACGGAAGATTTGTACAAATGGTGATTTGAAGATAATGTGTACATAATTTCACTACATAGAAATACCGAACTGCAAATAAATATTCCTTTATCAAGTCTTCTGTCTTCTACTGTTACAGTGAAATCCACTGCTGATTAGTGTTGAACAACTGGGTGATGATGAGTTGCATCCTGAAGTCAATCAAATCAATCTTAAACATGAGACTTGGATCTATTTTTGGACTAATTATATGTTGTTCGTGAAAACGTTTTGTGCTAATTGCTGATTGATGACTTGAGTGGCATGATAACATTTTTACTGCTGTTTCTTTTTTATTTCTCTGAAATTTTATTACATTCAAAACCACTGATACGTAATCTCTTATCTGTAATGGTCCTACAACATTTCAATCGACTGAAAAAATTTATCGTGTCGATGTTGACTTTAGTAATAAAACTGATGTCAATTAAAGTATTTTTAACTATATTTATTATTAGTCCCTTGTGTTCTGAATGAAGCATAGGGCTTCAACAGCACTTAACAATTTCCTACTGTTCTCCGCGGTCCTTTTTGGTAGGCTTCACGATTGCCCATAAGTTCTCATCTTCCTCTCACATAATCGCCTCCATCTCACTCTCGAACTCACGCCAAATTCGTTCTTTCTCATTCGAGACTCACTTAAGTGCCTGGTTTGTGATGTAACTCAAAGTTCACCTCAGCCTATATCCAAAACATCTCAGTTTTCTTCGGCGTATTCGTTGGGTTATGGATTCTTGGTTGGTTCGTTGCCTGCTACAGTTCCTCGATGATAATCCTTTCTTGTTATCTCATCTTTAGTATACAGCAAGGTAGCATCTGTTAATGAAAGTCTGCAGTCTGTTAGGAATGGATTTGGTGATTAACAAGGAAGCACTGAACTGGCTTGAGTGTTGAAAATACTAATCTTATTCCTTCTCGTGAGTGCAACAGATTTCCTCATTAACTTCAGATTAATAAAGATCTGTTTCGATTTCCTTACTCTGGTTGACTTTGACATTCGAATTCATATCGTTACCTTTAGTAGATGGTATGGTGCTTAGATAAGTACAAAATGTGACTTCCTTCGAATTTCTCGCTTTGATGATGATTAGTGTTTTTTTTGGTTAGGTTTGTTCTTTATTTCTATCTTCTTTATGTTCACTTGATGGCCTGTCTTTATTACCTATTCTGTCAACTTGTTGATTTTCGTATGTGTCTTTGAGTTTTTATGACATTAGATATAAGTAATCCACGAAGTCCAGATGATTTTGCAACATTACTTTAAATGCCTTAAGCTCTGTAGGAAGGACTAGACAAGATATTTTATCTTCATTATGCGATGCTACTTCAGTAGCTCTAAAAAAAATATAAACTTCGTGTGATTGAATATAGATATGTATTCACGCCTCATCGAGAAATATCACCTGCATTAGTCTAGAAAATTCCCACGCATATAATCATCATCCTACTTTGAAGAAAAGAAAAAAATAGAATTATATGCACCACCTTTTTACCATCCAGCTTATCACTTAACGTTTTATTCAAGTAAGGAATAAATTACAAGTCATTAGCAAATTTATCTAGACAAAGAGATGTGGAGAATTGACTATGTTTTGCATTTCATTTACTATCAACACTTTAGTCGGTAAGACATATAAAATAAATGGGGAGTAAAGCATACTTAGGTAGAAACCTTCAAAAGTTGCTCTAAAAAATATGTAATTATACGATAAAATAAGTGCCCATTATAAATAGTCCGTTGGACTATAGTAATACTCATTTAGGAAAGTCAGTAATCAACTTACAGAATGGCTTTATTATTTAACAATACCACTGCTAGTTATAATAAAAATCATTTATTAAGGCTTATTGAGCATTATATATATAATTTATTCAGAAAAAGGATAATCACAACAAACTATTGTTCTCTTAACATTTTCTTCCTGAGGCTATGCAGTTATAAATCTATTGCTGTTTCCAAACTAATAATAGTCAGTAAATGCGAATTAAAACTGTATCAAAAATGGTAATACACGTAGTACAGGATGGTACACGTACAGGATGTAGTAATAACCAAATAGTTTTGATAATCCTCTCATTATGTCTCACTCAATCTGTATCTTGGATATCTTCTATCTACTTCTAATACTCCTTTTAACCTTATATACCTCTCACCATTATTATGACGCTTTCACACAGTAGCTATTAGTTATCCTTCATTACTTTTTGATTCCTTCGTAATATTCATACTTCTTCGTATACTCCTGGTTAGAATACACCCGTTGAAGGTTATAGTTAGTTACAGCCCACAGTTAATTCGTTTTACTTGTTGCATGTCATTTTATGTTGTATTATTAACTGTATATTTGATGTGCATTTAAATGATAATCAGAATTAACTCATTATTATTATTCCAAGTTGTACTTGAACCACTAAGGCATTTGTGATATTGTTTTATATTGCTTTAGCTGAATATTTTATGATAAGATCATTAGATTTATAACTAAGTGGCCTAAGGCAAAAGTTGTTAAAAACAATAGTTTTCCTTGATTATTATTGTTCTAAATGTATATGCACACATTATTATTATTATTCATGCTCAGTGTTTGAAGTGGGGGATAGAGTTTCAGCAGCATACTTCCTCGATACCATGTTCTTTGGCATTATTTTTATCCAGCTCTACTATACTTGCTGGTCTTCATTTCCTTTAAACATGATCTCCTTCATGCAAGCCCCTGACTTTTGGATAATCTATCACTTACCACTCAGGTTCTACTGGATGGCATACCTGGCATGTGATGTCACTCACTGCTCCTTTTAGTGCATGTCCACTGCATCTCTATTCTCTTGGACACATTTTTTTAGGCAATAGATTCTTTATTGGTTTATAAGAGTTCCCTGTTATTTATATTTATGGCCGATCAATCATCTAATTTCCAGTATCAAGTGAAGGCGGGTGTTGATGAAATTCTTTAACCTGTTTGAGACGCTTTTAATGACAAATGAGTCAACTGTTTAAAGAATATAGAACTACTGACCTGATATTAATGTTAAGTAGTAAGTTCTCTCAATTTAAAAATCTATATGGGAGTAATGGATGCCTATCTTGTATTACCCAACCGCTTCTGGTTTTACCATTCTCATCAGTAGCACCAACAGTTAAAACAATGTTACT